GCTATAGAAAGATTATCAGAATATCTTTGACGAAAAAGAGGAGAAATACTGACATCTTGAAAGATCTGAACATCAAGGAAGATTGGCTGAAATATGTTGGTTATATCAAGTGCTACGGCAGATTGGAAAAAATTATATCAGAAGGCATGGTACCAGGAAGGAGGGACAGGGGCCGACCAACACGAAAATGGGCACAAGATATAAGTGACTTCTTGAGTATAAAAGTACATAAGGCGGGAGAACTGGCGAGAGACCTGAGTTTCTTTCAGGCATACAGTGACGAGAGCGACTTTCTGCAAAGGACCTGCTACGTGATGATGATGAGCAAGAGAATCTTGTTTTAGCGATCTAAACGTACCTGAATCACTCCACTGTTTAACACCAACAGTATGGACATTAGTTTAAATCGACAACAAAGACGAAACTTGGTGTCACAACTTATTGAGACCTGCTTCGAACTTCATCTGTGAGATAGCTGGGTCGTATTATAGCTGGGTCACTTTTACTATAGCTCGTTTGCTCTAGAACAAGTACAGCTTCCTACAACTGACAACATGCAACGCCGCTCAATTCCACAAATATGACACAATGCTCATTTACTCAACGTTAACTTCACTTAATTATAACCACAGTAACGACATCCCTACTGTCTTCTAACTCTAGTACACAACTGAAACTGACCACGAGTCCATCTCGAACTTTCCCTCGCTTACCGTTCAGAACCAAGTATCTCGAACGGTTGTTTATCGCACGGGTTTTCTGCCTGACTTGCTGTGAGCGTGGAGGCCATGCAAAGCCCCTCATCACATCATCGAAATTGAGTATCCAAGGCTTCAGGTCATGCAGAGATTTGAAACGGTCATGTTTATGTTCTACAAGTTTTTACAATTCCCTAATCCATTCTACCATTTTTTTTTTTAACACTGCCTATGCGTCCTTGTTAGTGAATCGTTGAGTTGAGTCAAGAATTGACATCACAGCCCTCGGGGCATTCCCATGCGTGCTCCATCCTCATCTTCAGCAGCCAGCGCAGAGCTCCAGTACAAATGGTACCGGTCGTAGTCTTGTTATATATACGTCTTGCCTTTCCCCTAAGTGTAGTGAACCGGCCAGGTCCCCTGGTTACACACAGGGCTTCATTCCATCCAGGCCATAATAACTTTGTTTCGCTTCTGACTCCACTGCTTGTTCCCAAAGGGCTCTGATCACAACTGCCTTGTCATGTATCAGTTCACCATCCAGTTTTGCAAATCCAGGCAATCTGCTGCCTGTTCATTCTCCACCATGCCAGCATGGTCTGGAGAGAAGATCCAAAGTATGCTCACTACCCATGACCTTCCCAGCGGTCTGCCTTTCTGCTCGAAGCATTCCTGTCTTCCCCTTTCTTAGCAAGCTTTCAGAGTCTGTTACAACTGCGACATGTGCATGCATCTTGTTCTCTAGCCACCGGGAACTTCCATTCTCATGCTAGATGTGGTGGTATCGAATACAAGGCTGTCCTGCACTAAAGATTTTCCATTAGCTTTCGATGCGAACCGCCATTTACTTCTCTTCCCTCTCAACATAGAACTATCTGTATAGATAATCAGATCACCTAGGTAAGAATTGTCGATAATCTACTGTTGGACTTCAACCTCCCTAGCACCTATTAGCCATTCTCTGCACTCCCGGCCCAATGTGATCATGTCCCTAAACAAGTCAGACTTTTCCTCTGGCACTCTGACCTACTCCTGTTCTTGCCCTAATGTTCTCCAGCATGCTGCTTGTCTTATTGTGTCTTCTGCTTGAGCCATCCATGATTTTCCCCCTTTTCAGTCCTCGACTTTTAACTGCAGCCAAAGATTCATCCAGAGGGATCTCTTTGCAGCTACTCTGAGGTATGACTTAGCCTGCTGCGCCTTAAGCCTATCTGCAATAGTCGGCAATGCAAGGATGTATCGCGTGCACATAATCAGGGTGTTTCTTGTACTTCCCAGGATCACCCGCTTAGCTTCATTCAGTATACTCTCAAATCTCTTTAGCTGACTCTTCGAGGCAGTGAGCAACCCCAGTCCATAATTAATCACTGAGTCAAGACCGTTGTGCGTGTCAATCACAATTATTAACCACACAGTGCATAAAAAACACACACACACAAATATATATAAATTGCCTGTTTATTTCTCCTCCGTTCATGTATGTTTCCTTGTGTAAGTGTGTGTGTGTGTGCGTAGATGTGGCGTGGTTTTATGTATCCCAAAGTTTAGCTTTTTTTAAAAAATGACTCCCCCACAGATGTCAAGTCTTTTGACAGCCGATTAAATTTTGATTCACTGGTGTTTTAAATTGAAATATCGTAGTTTGGAAACTGTTAGTATACACATTAAGGGTATCCACTCCATTGAAAACATCTAATATTGAAACAGAGGCAGATGTCTCCAGTTAATTGGCTCTGGAACACATACACACTAGGAAAGTGTCGACGACTTATGGCTGTCTGTCAGCTTATGAGAGGAAACAGTCGTTTGTTTCAAAGAAATAAATATAAAGGAGAAAACACGAACAGGTGCATGTTGGAGATATTGTTGGTGGTAACGATGATGATGATTATAATAATAATGATGATGATGATGGTGATTAAAAAAAAAAAAGAACTGACGATTTACTTCAAAATCCGCCTGGATACGATATTCACTGAAAGGGAAACAATTCCATTAAGCAAATCAAAGATGTATTATGGGCAGGTTATCTACCTCTATCATCTGTGCTGAACAGTTAAGGTTCGTTGCGTATCCCTTACAGGACTTTAGAACCAAACAGAGGAGCCACTGTCTGTTGTGTGGTTTCTGTAGGCAAATTTACGTCCAGTAGGTTGCCATTGCCTCTGGATGGTCGGCCCCCTGATACCACTGTCAAAACTAACGCAAGGCGCATGGCCCGCAGCTGGGATCGAACCCGACACCCCGGCATTACGAAGTGTTCGCATCGACTTAGCCACAGAGCCGACGCTGAACAGTAATATATTCAATTATCTCTCGTGCTTTACTACGAGTTTCATCTTTATCTCTTAACTGTGTGCTTTTGCTACTGCTGCAAGGAAAACTTTATATATTTGAATGTGTTTATCATGCTATCTCAGTGTGTTCGAGGCTCAAAGATGTATTAGTTTCTTGCTTTTGAGAATCAGAATTACGTCACCCCAGTCAAACTTCTAGGTTCTCCACCTCATCCTCAAAACTTATAGAATATGCAGATACGGAAAGTTCTAGTAACGTACTGATTGAAACTATATGGGATGTGTTCTTTCAGGAGTCCCTATTGATTCCAAATTGATTTATCCTTAACAGGTTCTTTTATCTTTTATTATGTTTCCAGCTAGTAGTCGCCCGTAGTCTTCGGTATATATCTCATGTAAATTGTTAAAGTTTCAACTTGCCACGTGTAAAGCCAACAGATTCACTTGCTCATTGCCTTGCGCTCCAGTAATCGGCGATACCGTGCACTAAGGATTCTTATGCGTGCTTACTCTTTTGATGCGACATCCGTCCCAAGTCTAAAGCAACCTTTGTTTGCTGTTTCCACTAAAAGTTGTTTATACTATTTCTTATTCTGACCTAGAAAACCACACAGGTGTGCTTGGCAAGTATTTACACACAGATGATGTAGTGTTAGCGTCGGAGATAGTTTTTCACTCTGTACTCGGTGAGTCCACGCAAGTAAATCCTCGTGAACGAGATCAAGTGCGATTTCCAAAGACAGGAAGAGTTAGCTCTGTTGGATACCTTTTATTCCACATTAAGCCATTTTGAACTGTATGGAATGACTGGTTAATGTTTTTGTTTTGAGGGGCGCGTGGGTGGATGTGAAAGACTGTGTAAAAAAAGAAACTAAATTATATAATCTACATAATTATTGCTGCCTAATGAATTATACTCTGAATTATCAATACAGTGCTTCGTATTGGCAGTGTTTGAGCTTTGTTTTAACCATTTCTTTTCTGGGTCGAAACCAGTTACAAAGCTGGTTATTTTTTTTTTTAAAAATACCCCCGATAAAAGCTGGCTTCATTAGTTTCCAAAAACTTTTTCTTACCCCCTAGATGTTAAATTCCTCTACGACAGCGGTTCTCAACCTGTACGTAGTGACCCTTTTTTTTATTATTTAGGTCGAACGACCCTTTCACAGGGGTAGCCAAAGACCATCGCAACCAAAAAAAAAAAAATATTCATTGAAGTTAATAGTAGCAACGAAAATAATTGTTATGGTTGGGGGTCGCCACGACAAGAAGTACTGTATTAAAGAGTCACGGCATTAGGAAAGTTGAGAGACACTGCACTGTGGGATGTAGAGGTGTTCAACCACCTGTTGATGTACTAGGACTAGGACTCATGTTAATAAACACCTATCTACACATCTTTATCGGAGCCGGACTTTTTTTCAAAAATGACCTTGGCTCCCGGGTCGACCCAGCCTTGGGTGGGTATCGGGTGCAGTCCCGGGAAGTAGAGGCGGCCGGCATGATGCTGACCACATCACCCATCTTGTGCCGATTGGTCTTTAAAAATATAGGTACAGACCTATATGCCCTATACACCTAAAGGCACGTAAAAGGGTCCTTTACTTTACTTACTTACACATCTTTATGGTTATCTTAGAAAGAGGTTTCTTACCGGCAACCTAGCCATCGTACGTACTGACTTCAGACAACCGGTTGTTGTGTGTGTTTGGTTTTTAAAAATGTTTTTGAAGAAATATATTCATGTCTCAACATCAAAAGATTTAGACTGCTTATTTTGTTTTATGAGCTTTTTTTTTTTTTTTTTAAATGCACACTCAAAAAGCAACTCTACGACAACTTTCTGTTTTGAAAAGCATTCATGGAAAAACCTGGCATATTTTTGTTTCGTCGTCTGCATCTTTGAACAACGATTTTCCGACGCCCTGTTGCCTTCTACAGGACGCTGTAGCGACACAACATTGTCTTGGCAGTCTGTCATTTACTGCCTCTTGGGTTCCAAAATATGCGTGCTCCTGAAAGTAATCTCATTATTAGTATTGCATATTGTTAGATAAAATAATGTTTCTGATTTCTGAAGTTACTATCAAACTTTAACTTTAGGGGGTAGACGAAGAAGAGGTGGGCAGAGAAGAACCTGCAATGACAACATTAAGGAATGGACAGGACTAAGTTATCATCATCATAATCATCATCATCATCAGGTGCCTTGCCGACTGGTGTGGGCGATCATTTCTCTCCATAATCCTAGTTATCATACGCTTATTTATCAAGCGGAAGAGAGAAAAAGATTACAACATTAAGAAATGGACTGGACTAAGTTTTACACTAATTTTTCAAGCGGAAGAGAGAAAAAGATGGCGGGTTTTGTGTGCTAGTAGTGCTTCCAAGTAGTGCTTCCATCAGTTCACCTCTCCGACCCTAACGGGTCAAGGGTTATGTTATGTATCAAACGGGAATTTAAAGAGAGGACGATCATGCAAATAGGGAGAGAGGAAATAAGCGTCCGTGGAATTTCGCCAAATAGACAGAACGCAAGCGAGCACTTTCCCTGTGTTTATATTTCACAACTTATTCAATTTCATTAACCAAAAGCGTAGTTTTTTTAATTGTGTGTCGGCTGCACAAATAAAAACAGAGCAAAAACGCATTTCTCAGCTTATGGACTTATGTTAATGCCATGATCAGGGCCTGACACGTTTAGTTTATGATGCAGTTATTCACAAGTATTGATGGGCACTCACAAAAGCAGAGCGGAAACTAGAGATAGAACTTCTACAACCTATAATGTAAACGAGATTAATCTAAAAATGGACTATAAGAAATGTTTGCACTTGGTCCAAATTACATAGTTTTTACAACTGAGTCAATTATTTTTAATTTATATTAGTTTATTTTTTTTTTTTTACATTTTAGTGAAGGTTGGATTACCTTTCGCCGACGACCAGGTACTCATAGCAGAAAATACGGAAAGCCTACAGAACTACCTAAATCAAATTAGTAACAAATGGGAGGAAAATAATATGAAAACAAACACTACAAAGACAGAGACAATGATGATAGGAAGACAAAAAGACAATTTAGAAATTAAATTAAAAAACAACACCCTGAGACAAACAGAGGAATTTAAGTATTTAGGAGCAATTTTTACATCCGACGGAAAACTAGACAGAGAAATTAGCTCCAGATGTGCCAAAGCTAATCAAGTAATGGGTTAACTATCTTCCCTGTTGACACACAAGCAGGTACCTCGGAGTACTAAACTGAATATTATCATAATTATTTTTTGGCCAACACTATACTATCAATGCCAAACGTGGACACTTACATCCTCCAATGAACGTAAAATTGTGACAACAGAGATGAAATGCCTTAGAAAAGCTGCGGGAGTTTCAAGGAAAGACAATACGAAATCATGAAATCAGACGAATGTTAGGAATAAAGCCAGTCTTACAGGTTATCAAAGAACAACAAATGAAGTGGTTTGGACACCTAAAAAGAATGCCCTGGTACTATCTGCCACAAAGAGCCACACTAAAACGTTATAACGGGTATAGAGCGAGTGAAAGACCTCGGAAAATATGGAGTGATGGCATTAAGAACAGTCTTACAGAAATGAACATCAGTCTTAATAGTACTCTTGACAGAGCTCATCAACGAACATTACATCTACCCCTGACACTTTGATGAGGTAAATGGTGGAAGAGAAAAAGAAGAAGTGAAGGTTGGAGAATCGCCAATGACATAAAATAAATGTTACTGCATTCCACAACAAATGCCTGGGACTAAGAAAATGAATAGGTATTAAATAGGGTGAGCTGAAGAAAGGTTAATAAGAAAGAAAACTGTCGTGAATCAACAGAGATATGAAAAAGAAGATGGCAATATTTGGGGCAAATCCTGATGAGGATCGGGCACTTAAACATGAAACAGATGGATTGAGGAAACGAGGGCGCCCACTAGAACCTTAAAGACGAACATCTCCTATTAGAGGGTCCGAACACCCTGTACTGCATTTTATCTATAATATTTAAAGGCTAAAACGCAGAAGAAGACTAGACTACGAGACCCGTATGATGTATAATGGCACAGCAGGATGATGTTGATAATGACGATGATTATTTGGTCCTAATTGAATCATCGAGAAAGAGGAGGGGTTGTTTCAGAATTGTGCAGACTGTGTGGATCTTTATTATACTGCCGATCAAAGGAGACCCAACAACACATCTCTTTACTTGTCACAGATGGTTGTCGTACTAACAAAGATGGAAATCATATGGGATAAACCACCAGAAATCGAAAATTGTAATAGATTTTTTTTTAGACAGTTCTGGTTTTGAAAATTACTTGTAACAGAGTATTGTCAGATATAAGGGAGGACATTCGTCTGTGATATCTTCCTGGCTACTACATAATTTAACACTTCCTAGCTACTGCATAATTTAACAAATCCTGGTTACTACATAATTTAATACTTCCTATCTGCTGCATAATTAAACACTTCTTAGCTACTACATATTTTAACACTTCCTAGCTACTGCACAATTTAACACTTCTTAGCTACTACATAATTTAACACTTCCTAGCTGCTACACAATTTAACACTTCTTAGCTACTACATAATTTAACACTTCCTAGCTACTGAATAATTTAACACTTCCTAGCTACTGCAGCATTTAACACTTGCTAGCTAATGCACAATTTAACACTTTCTAGCTACTGCATCATTTAACACTTTCTAGCTACTGCATCATTTAACACTTCCTAGCTACTGCACAATTTAACACTTCCAGCTACTGCAGCATTCAACACTTCCTAGCTACTGCATCATTTAACATTTCCTAGCTACTGCACAATTTAACACTTCCTAGCTACTGCATCATTTAACACTTCCTAGCTACTGCACAATTCAACACTTCTTAGCTACTGAATAATTTAACACTTTCTAGCTACTGAATAATTTAACACTTCCTAGCTACTGCATCATTTAACACTTCCTAGCTACTGCAAATTTAACACTTTCTAGCTACTGCATCATTTAACACTTCCTAGCTACTGCATTATTTAACACTTCCTAGCTACTGCACAATTTAACACTTCCTAGCTACTGAATCATTTAACACTTCCCAGCTACTGCACAATTCAACACTTCCTAGCTACTGAATAATGTAACACTTCATAGCTACTGCATCATTTAACAAACAGAAGATCCACATTTTAGAATATACATTAAAGTAGAACCAAAGTAGAAAAAAAAATTTTGTTTAAACAGTTGAAAGATCCAACCTATAATCAAAACAAAAGCCTACTAGAAAGAAAAAAAAAACAACAGAGAAACAATTAAATAACTTTTCCCACACAGTAAGAATTGTGTAATTGTAAGGATACTGACTAATAATATAACAAAAACATGAATGCTCCAACACTATAGCATGTCTTTACTCTTATCTCCATTCTTTCGTATGTTATCCTGTTTCTTCCTTCAGAATCGGATGAAAGCACCCACCACTGAAAATAGATTACAGTAAATAATATGTGTTTGAGCAACGCTATATCAGTATTCACATTTCTCTTTTTTCGTCTTCTGCATTTCATCTCCAAATAAAGCATATAACCCATGTGCCCTAATTTTTGCAATCATGTCGTGGACTTGTATATATCAAGCACTACCTAGCTACTATATAATTTAACACTTTCTAGCTACTACATAATTTAACATTTCATAGCTACTGCATAATTTGAGGTTATCCTCCGAAAAACGGTCCCAAATTATCGAGGCCGTTTTTTTTTTTTTTTTTGTATATATTTTAATGCCGTTTTGTTCTACATTGCATTGTCTGTTGCAGCCAGTGATTTAGTGACATATATCCCAATCTTGACTTCTATTGGGCTAGCACTTTATGTTATTTGGCACTGTCTACGACCTAAAGCTGACATTATCAACCCAAACATAAAAAAGACTGAGGAAAAAGTAGTCGACACAATGAACGTAGACGACATCAAGGAGGACATTTCATTCTGTCGCTGCTGGAGATCTCAGGAGGTAAAACATTCCGTTTGTGGTTGCCCAGTTGTTTCGAACATAACTGTTGTCAATATGTGGTTGGCCTGAACATGTGTAGTTTGCTCATCTGCTAACAAGCACAGTGTTTAAGGATTTCTTCTTCAGTGGTAGCATAATTATTTTTCTGATCTCTACATCATTGTAAAATATATATCAGAATATCTATGGGAAGGATATCTGGTAGGTAATGAAGCCACTCATCCCACATCACAGAGCAATAGCATCGTTTGTAAAGGCCTGACACTTCAAGCCCAACAGCTATAATTTCAATAAATATTTTTGAAAGTGTATTTTTTCTGCCATTACTAGTTCATCACCGTGTGGTGTGATGACGCTGATGCATTGGTCAATCCAACAACGGCAGCAGTGATGTTGTTTTGTTTGAATAACTATATTGTCAACACCCCAACGCCAACTGCAAGTCTATGCTCAGAGAATGTGGGAAGGCAGTCAATGAAATACCTGGGGATTCAACTTGATCGTAGCCTGGCTTATACTAAGCACAAAGATCAGGTGATAATAAAAGCCAAGTCGAGTGATAGCTGCAGCAAACTGTGAGCAGCGTTATTTGTGTCTTGTATGCCAGGGTTTTATCCTTTCTGTTTGCTGATTATGTGATGGCGATCCTGACTCTCAGCCACAAGCAGATGGAAAGGATGAAAAGGATACAGAACGAGGTTATGCGCATCAACTTGAGTGTTCAAGAGGTACAGCATGCAGGGCGATGCGCTTCCTTCTCGATTTTCCGACAATGGAGGATACAATACAAGCGTGCCGAGAACGTGCCTGCCTCAGAATCGAAGGACGCCAATTTCAATTTTACAAGGACTGCTGTGAATCCGTTACAATTACAATTTTGTTGGGCTGCGTTGCTCTTTAGTCATGGGAAAGCTGCCATTACTGCCTCTACCTCCCTTCTCATACCGGATGTTGTGACGCTGAACACTAGGCGTTTGTCTTCAAAGTGTCCATTCGCCTTTGCATTTTAAAAAAAAAACGTTTAAAACATTTCAGTTTAGTTTAAAATATTCAAATACATGAAAAGTATTTTTTTTTTTTTTTATGTGTCTATCAGTTTCCACTGTGTGACGGCAGCCACAATGAGCACAACAAGAAGACAGGAGATAATGTTGGCCCTATGTGTCTGAGGAAACAACAAAAGAAGACATTCTGTGATTGACCAAACCCGAAGATTCTTGTGAATTTTCTCCATTCTAGTTGCTGGAATAGTTTAGTATTTTTTTTTCATTTAATGCGGTTTTTTTTTTTTTTTTTAAATATCTGATTTAATCTTAAATTACAAAGCAGTGTTTCTCCATTGAAAATTTGAACACACACACACACACACGCGCGCGCATAATTTATCCAGTTTATTACTGGGCATATTTCACTGTGGGAGCTGTAGTATGCAGTGATTGTATAGTTGGAGCTTGGCTACCAGCCCAAGTGTCTTGGCTATGAATGTGCATTAGGACGCACTTTTATAATGATGTAGAGCACCCGGGTCGACCCAGCCTAAAAAAAGGTACCAAGAAATGTCCTAGTGGTTGGCGGGATAAATACTTCATAGCCCATTAAGTACCACTGGATCTATAAAACTGGGTCTACCACCATAAGCCAAAAACACTATCAGTGTGGGGGGGGGGGGGGAGAGGCCATTACATTTCTGTTTATTTTATTTATATTTCGCACAAGGCGAAAAAAAAAAAGTAAATGAATGCCTGGGTAAAACTGTATTACATTTGAGTGTACGCAGTATTCCAGGCAAGACTTATAAATTCTTGGAGTCACTAGATGTAAAGAGAAGGCCACTTACACAGATGAATGGAGGCACTTTATATCTACAACATTGTAAATTGTTGTGTGTTTTTTTTTTTTTAATTCTAATCTTATATTTGCCGGTGAGAATGTTTTTAATGTTGTTAGGGCTGGTCATGTTTTGTATTGTAATAGTTATATCACTACAGTTAAGTCTCAGAATAGTCACTGGAGTAGGTACTCAGATCTTGTCCTAAGTTTGCTGTTGAAGTAGTTATTTATGTCACAGCATGTCTTCTGTTTATTTGATGAGTTAATTATTGATGTCATAATATACACAGTCCTTAAAAGTTGGTTCTTATAACGTTATGTTAGTGCCTTGGCATCAGTGATAAATAGAAGACAAAGCTGTATGATTCACACAGAGATTTGCACTGTGCAATCCCTTTCATCAAGGTTATTGGCCTCCTGATTATGTGTGTTATGACAGAAGGATCAGTGAAGAAGATGAAGCAGAGGTAATATGTTTGTTAACAAATCACGAACATGACGAGAATTAGTGATATTCTAATGTTACGGTCACTGTAGTTGTCAATAAATATTAGAGCATGAAACCTTGAGTTTATAGTTTTGTATAATAATATGGTATTCATTCATGTTCACAGATCATAACACTTACATTACTCTGATATAGGTATTCATTCATGTTCACAGATCATAACATTTACATTACTCTGATATAGGTATTCATTCATGCTCACAGATCATAACATTTACATTACTCTGATATAGGTATTCATTCATGCTCACAGATCATAACATTTACATTACTCTGATATAGGTATTCATTCATGATCACAGATCATAACACTTACATTTCTCTGATATAGGTATTCATTCATGCTCACAGATCATAACACTTACATTTCTCTGTATAAGTATTCATTCATGCTCACAGATCATAGCACTTACATTTCTCTGATATAGGTATTCATTCATGCTCTCAGATCATAACACTTACATTTCTCTAATATAAGTATTCATTCATGCTCACAGATCATAGCACTTACATTTCTCTGATATAGGTATTCATTCATGCTCACAGATCATAACACTTACATTACTCTGATATAGGTACTCATTCATGCTCACAGATCATAACACTTACATTTCTCTGATGTAGGTATTCATTCATGCTCACAGATCATAACACTTACATTTCTCTGTATAAGTATTCATTCATGCTCACAGATCATAGCACTTACATTTCTCTGATATAGGTATTCATTCATGCTCTCAGATCATAACACTTACATTTCTCTAATATAGGTATTCATTCATGCTCACAGATCATAACACTTACATTTCTCTGATATAGGTATTCATTCATGCTCACAGATCATAACACTTACATTTCTCTGATATAGGTATTCATTCATGTTCACAGATCATAACACTTACATTTCTCTGATAAAGGTATTCATTCATGCTCACAGATCATAACACTTACCTTTCTCTGATATAAGTATTCATTCATCCTCACAGATCATAACACTTACATTTCTCTGATATAGGTATTTATTCATGCTCACAGATCATAACACTTACATTTATCTGATATAGGTATTTATTTATGCTCACAGATCATAACACTTACATTTATCTGATATAGGTATTTATTCATGCTCACAGATCATAACACTTACATTTATCTGATATAGGTATTCATTTATGCTCACAGATCATAACACTTACATTTCTCTGATATACGTATTCTTTCATGCTCTCAGATCATAACACTTACATTTCTCTGTATAAGTATTCATTCATGCTCACAGATCATAGCACTTACATTTCTCTGATATAGGTATTCATTCATGTTCACAGATCATAACACTTACATTTCTCTGATAAAGGTATTCATTCATGCTCACAGATCATAACACTTACATTTCTCTGATATAGGTATTCATTCATGTTCACAGATCATAACACTTACATTTCTCTGATAAAGGTATTCATTCATGCTCACATAACACTTACATTTATCTGATATAGGTATTTATTCATGCTCACAGATCATAACACTTACATTTATCTGATATAGGTATTCATTCATGCTCACAGATCATAACACTTACATTTCTCTGATATAAGTATTCATTCATGCTCACAGATCATAACACTTACATTTCTCTGATATAGGTATTCATTCATGCTCACAGATCATAACACTTACTTTTCTCTGATATAGGTTTTCATTCATGCTTACAAATCATAACACTTACATTTTTTTTTTTAAATAGGTATTTATTCATGCTCACAGATCGTAACACTTACATTTCTTTGATCTGGTCAGTGAGTTCATTAGCATTAAAAAGGAAGTTTAAAGACGTTTTAACGTTTATCAAAAGGCATTAAAAGGCAAGAGTATCGACTTCATTGCACCAGGCTTTGTTTCAAATGTTTTCAGTATCGGCAGAGTGGCTGATCACTTGCTGAGGATGTTGCACAAGGTGCAGTCTTCATAGCTTCGTTAACAATTCCACAATAGCCTCCAAAACACTCGCACTCACATCCCACACCCCAAATCCACAATGTTCAAAGCACAATTCTTCTTCTGATCTCTACAAGGGCTTTTGTCTCCGATGTTATGGCTGCTTTAAGATAGAACTACTGATTCATTTCCTTACAATTTTCCAATTTGCTTGGATGTTTATCGTCATGTAGCAGGTCCTTTGCAGAACATTGCTCTCATCAAGGTCTGCCTGAAAGAAGCTCGGTCTCTCACCAGCTCACCTGGTTCATGTACTTTCTCAAGTCATTTATGTTTTCTACTCATCTGCATGCTGATCGGCCCCTGCCCCTGTTTCCTGGTAGGTAAGTTGTACCCCACCAGGACATCACACAAGCGATAAACACCCGGTGACACAAAGTGCCATCATGCGGATGAGGATCACCCGTGGAGAGGTACCGGAACCCCCATTCAGACGTTAGGCCATATTTAAGGCTTTATTTAGGGCCCCAGGCAAAAGCCAGGGTGGGGGTTCAAATTAACTAAAAACTGCATCCCATATGGGGATGATAATAATTGTTTCCTGGTATAGTCTTCTTCTTCTGCCTTTCTATCCCCCAATGGAGCATAGGCCCTCAACCAACTCACGCTAAGTCGTTCTATCCTTCGCCATTGCATGGAGCTCTCCCCATGTCCTCCCAATCTTTCTAACCTCATTCTCCAGCTCTCTTCTCCGTGTGTTTTTTGGCCTTCCTTTATTCCTATGCCCCTGTGGGTTCCATTGCAAAGACATTCTAGTTATGCTGTTCTCCTGTTTTATCAGTGTGTGCCCTATCCAACGCCAGCGTTTTTTCCTCACCTCCTGATCCACTTTAGCCTGTTTAGTTCTCTCCCAAAGTTCTACATTAGTTATTCTATCATACCATTTTATTCCCTCTATTCTGCGCAGGCACCAGTTAATGAATGTCTGTAATTTATTAGTAATTGCCTTGGTTGTTCTCCATGTTTCCGCCCCATACAATAGTACTGATTTGACATTAGAATTAAAAAATTTTAGTTTAGTATTTCTTTTAATTTCTTTTGACCTCCACAAATTCCCTAGTGCTATGAAAGCCCCTCTTGCCTTTTGTATTCTTATTTTAATATCTCTATCAGTTCCTCAATCTTTATCTACATTACTGCCCAAATAGGTGTACGACTCCACGTCTTGGAGTGGGGTGCCATTAAGAGAAACAACATAACTATTTGCCTGATTTATTCTCATTATCTTTGTCTTTCCTCTATGGATTTTCAGACCAAGCTGCTGTGATCTCGCATTAAGTATATTTAATTTATCTTGTATCTGATTCCGTGAATGGGACAGAAGAGCAATATCATCAGCGAAGTCCAGATCATCAAGCTGTTTTGTAGGGGTCCACTGAATTCCATTCTTGGTGTTAGCAGTTACTGTTTTCATAGTCCAGTCTATAGCCAGTAAAAATAAGAGAGGCGACAAAAGACATCCCTGTCGCACACCTGTTCTCCTGGTATAGTGCCTTCTGTTATTATTATTTTTTCCCTAATCCGATGTGGCACTTCATTGGTCAAAATATTTTTTCCGAGACAAGATGCTGTTTACCAGGCAATATTCCTTGAAGTTGAGATCTTCTAGTATGTGACATTAGACGTTACATTGTGGTGTTTCGTTCTTTATGGAGATGACATCAACTTCTGTTTTCTGACAGTTTAATTCTCAGTCTGTTTGCTCACTATAAGTACCTATCATCTCACAGTTCTTGAATTCACACCTGCAGCAGGGTGAGTGTTTATAAATCACCTGCACTTCTAGGTGGGAAGTAACGCTAGTCAGCATACTGTTAAGAACGTGACAGATTGATTGCCAAGGGTACCCAATGTGCCAATGACACAAAAAGGATGATTACTTACCAAACTACTCCTTGTGTATTGTTAGTCATTCACTACACGCTACAGAGCATGTCGATTGTCTGCAGCCACTACCTTATCATATGCCTATCATATTCTGTTGGTGTTATATCTTCTCTCGAAAATTCCCTGCATGTATTTTAAAAGTCTCATAATGTTTTCAATATACAGTCAAGCAGACGAGGAAACATTAGACACCCCCATTGCCTGCCTCTTCTGAGTGGACTGAGGGTTAGTTTCTTTCTTTTTCTTTTTTCTCTGCTGAGTTTCCTATTGATATTATGTGTTGTGTTTAGTTACTTCTTGACACTGATCCGGTTCCTTATCACTGTTAATAGCAAAATGGGTTTTTTTTCAGTGTCTGTTGGGAAATTAAACATGAATAATCTAATTTATGCTGTTGCGTATAACATCCCTGTAGATAAAGCTAGAAATGTGTTTTAGGATATTATAAACTGAACGTTGCGCGGATTTTTATCGTGGTATGGGACGTCGCAGGTTGACCCAGCCTCAAATTGGTACCAGGATGGGCTGTCCTGGGAAAGTAAAGACGGCCGGCGTAATGCTGACCACATTACCCACCGAGTGCCGATTGGTCTGTAAAAATATGGGTGCTCTTCCCATTTGCCGGATGTAAAGTCGCGATAAGGGATTTCCTTTTTTTTAATAAACTGAACGTGAGTCATTTCTGACTTGAACCTGGTGACGTAGATCAAGGGGTGCATGGTGAATTCTCAACTACAAAATGACAGGTTCATATTCTAACATTATTACTCAGTACAAACTTTTTTTTTCAGCGAGATATTACTCCTTCAGTGTGTATATCTACAGTTCCAACACTTTTGTTTCTACTTTACCTTTGTTCAGCAAGATATTATTCTCAGTTCATACGCTTTTTCACTTAAACATTAAACTCAAATCTGTACCTTTTTTTCTTCAACAAGATTTCACTTGTTCAAGAAGATATTATTGTCTCAAATTATGCTTTTTCATCAAAAAGTGTGTCTCTTACATAATAATCTCTGTTCCACAAGCTATCACTCTCTCACACCATATGCTTTTTTTGCTCAACAAGTTATTTTCTATATCTGTGCTTTTTAAACAAAATAATTATCTTTAAACTCTTCTCCCCCCCCCCCCCTCCTCCCCCGCCCCCCTTTTCCCCACACAAACACACACACTTTTCTGCCACACAAGCTAATAAACAAGATGTTTCAGTTGACTTGTGTTTTATGTATCCATTAAAAAAAATGAATGTATCAAAGGGACATGAGCTATTTGTTTCAACAAATACTGTAAAAATAAAATAACCTGTTTTGGTCATGTTAATGGCACAGAGTAGATGACTACTTTTATACCACAGTGTGTAATAGGTATACATGAAGTTTCTACTAGACTACTTTCATACCACAGCGTGTTATACAGGATATACGTAGTTTCTACTAGACTACTTTCATACCACAGTGTGTGTGATACTGGATATATGAAGTTTCTACTAGACTACTTTCATACCACAGCGTGTTATACAGGATATACGTAGTTTCTACTAGACTACTTTCATACCACAGTGTGTGTGATACTGGATATATGAAGTTTCTACTAGACTACTTTCATACCACAGTGTGTGTGATACGGGATATATAAAGTTTCTACTAGACTACTTTCAAATCACAGTGTGTGTGATACGAGATAAATGAAGTTTCTACTATTCTAATATGTTTGTAAACTGAGTCTGGTTTTCAATGTTATCAGCAAACTGTACAAAAAACAGAAGTTTATCATGTAAGTAGAGATAGCATACAAATCATATACGACAGCAACAAAACACTGGAATATCTCAGAGGTGGCATTCATTAGTCAGTAGATGTTTTCTTTCTAACAATGTTCAATGCTCCCACATTGTCTCCTGTGCACTTGTTGTGTTCTTTGTGTACACCATCGCAATATGGCCACTGAAAAGACAGTAAACAAACAAATATTGACACAAGGTAGTTTTTGTCTCCTGAAATGTGGATATACACAAGAATATGTTGTATTTCGTGGAAACAAAAACAGTCAAATACAAAAATTAAGGGAAGATTGGGAATGAAAAGAGAATATTGAAATAAAGAAAAAAAACAGAGACAGTAAACAGAATACTCTTTCAAAAAGCATACCGCAGGGGAAATTTGAAGGTAAGATGTAGACAGGGATACAAGTGGGAAGGCAACACCAAGAGACTCAGGAACAGCAGTCTAAGAGAGTATACTACCAAGACATGGAGATCCACTACAGCAAACCTTCAATGACTGAAATCATTTCATACAGTACAGAAGGGTGCACCAATCGGTCTGTATGCAGGAAGCTCGTGTGTTCATGATGCAGCTGTCAGTGCGCCGCAGCTCTACAACAGACATGACCATCTAACACATTCTTGTACCAAGCAGCTTTCACTCATGCTGTCCGAGATGATAGCTTAAGTGTTTCAGCCACTGTTATAACTAAAGCTTTAGCAGTCACAGGTGATTAATTTTGTCAAACTCCCTTGGTTGGGTGGGTCTGGGCAGCCCAGGTCAAATTGTGAAAATCTCCACTTTGATGGCATTACAATCATTTGATTGACCACAGGGCCAACAGACAGACAGTGTACCACAAGACAACACTTGCTAGATTACCTGGTATGATATATATTCATTTTTAATGTGCTCTAAGCACGAGTTCTAGACATGTGTCAAACTCGTCAAGTGAAGCCACAACGGTTCATTTTGCTCTTAAGCTCAGTTTAACTTGGGGTTTTTTAAATACTTTTTCACATCATGGGTAGGGGGTGGGGGGGGGGGTGTTAGAATTATTATTTAAATTAATATAGGTCTAACTAGCAAAACCTAAAGGCATTTAGGTAGGTAGTTGTACCCCACCAGGACATCCCACACGCGATGAACACCCGGTGACACAAAGTGCCACCGTGCAGATGAGGATTACCCATGGAGAGTTCCCAGAAACCCCTTTTAGCCGTCAGACCATATCTATGGCTAGGCCATATCTATGCCCCGGTTATATTCAGGGACCCCAGCAAAACCCAGGGTGGGGCTCAAAGTAGTAAAAAAATTGCATCCCACAAGGGGACAACTTCTAATATTCAAAAAGGCATTTATTTTCTCAACTTTATATTATGAGAATGTAAACCTAATTAAAAAACAAGGAACATAATTCCATTTTTGAACAAACATATATCTAGGACTTAAATTAACTTGCAAGAAGTAAATAACTAAGTTTATTTAGGCATGGATAAAAAATACTGTTACACTAGTAGTTTTCACATTAATAACATTATGTTTCCGGTTTATAACTGGGACATAGCATCCATTATGTTTTAAGTCATATTTTAACTATTTTATATGCTGTATAATCCTTTCTTTAAGTCATTTATGTAATTTATATTGTTACTGTTTGTAATGTTATCATCAAATCTCGTGGCTTATAAAAAGGACAGATGATATTTGGTGATTATTTTGATAATACTCTTACCATATGCTATAAACGTCATTTTAATAATATTGAATTTATGTCTTTTGTATAGTGATCACTTTTTAGTACTTACTAATCATGATCAATCATTTTTGCTTTAAAAAAAATTTAAAAGAGGTGACATAATTTTAGTTCCTAGTTATAAATTGCTGGATCTTTCGCTAGCAATCTCTCCAGCTGTCTATTCATAATAAATTACCCACTCTCAAAGGCAGATTAAAGTTAGCTGCATATCCTTTACAGGACGTTGCAGAACCAACTACAGCATTTTTGGCTGTTGTGGTTTTTTTTTTTTTTTTTTTTTGGCAAATTATAAATTGAGTGGTTTGCTATTGCCTCTAAACGGTCAGCTCTCAGTACCACTGTTGAAACCAACGCAAGACAAAGCGTCAGCAGCTGGGATCGAACCCCGGCATTACGAAGTGGGTTTGCAACGCCTAAGCAACAGACGCCGACCATAGGCAGATTACTGTGCAGATTACTGTGGGTGAAGGTTGCAGTGTACACTCTCTCATACTGATGTCTCTACAAATGTTGGCGTTTTCCTCCCACTTGATTTGCTGTCTGCCTCTTGTTATCTTTAACTGGATTTTAGTTCCAGGTTCACACTGCTTGATTTATTTATGTTCCACTCTTAAAAGCAGATTAAAATGATTGAAATATTCAGTTATTGCTTTCCTTCAAAGTTCAGATTTCCTATATTCTGCATTATTGTCATTGTGACATAATTCACAGGTCTCTTCCTGTATATCAGTGCAAGCCCAACCAAGTTGTGGTCTAAGCTTCTTTTTTTCTGTTGCATGGAATTTTACATTCACTTTTTACCTGATACTGTTTCTCAGAAGCATTGCACAATTTATTTGAATGTCTACCCTTTTGACTTCAGGCCAAGATTACGATAGTCTATTTTTCTGCTGTGCTTTATATACAATCGTTTAATGCCTCTGTACTAACAGGCACATTAGGTTTAATTGTATTGGATTGGACTCTTGTGGGGTTTTTCCTGTCTGCATTTTCATTATTATATTTTCCATATTTCCAAGTATGCATACAATCAAAACTGAACATGTTTTTGTGTGAAGATAAGTAGTAGCCGATGAAATCTCTGTAAGGTCTGTACTGCTAAATATTTTTGAATGTTCAAATGTAAGGACCACTGCTAGTTAGTCATTTAAATCTTCTTCTTATTCCCATTCAACATCTATAAACCTCTACGAAACATTTCTGGTTATACATCCAATTCTGGATTTTAGTCTTGTTTCAGAACACAAACTTTTGCATTCACATGCATTTTAAGATCTGCCTTATTTGTTTGCAGCCTGTCGGTTCCTTGCTTCTCATGCAGATGCGCTCTTACTAAAAAACATCAATTAGTTGACTCTTAGGACATGCTTGTTAGGGAGCCAGAGAGTCTATTCCCCTCCTCCTCCCCAACCCTACAGTGAAGTCCCGGAACCCACATGTTGTAGTCAGTTAAATTTTATGGAGACAAGGTATTAAAAAATACATCAGGTCCAGCTGCATGATAGGTACTGATTAAAAATAGACTCTTTCTTGGACTTACGTCTTGAGACTTCCAGCATCTACAAAAGCTGATCTTTCCTCCAGGCTTGATCATGCTCAACAAGTCTTCAACATCAACCACGTCAGTGACCTTCTTCTCATCTTTTCTGATGATATGGTTTATGGGTCCAGCTTTGTGTTTGCAATAGCCACGCCTGAAGAAATATGCCAGCACACTTGCCACACCCACTGCCGCTGTGGTTGCTGATAAGGCAATGTACAGTTTGGAATTGTCTGGAGATTCAGTGAAATTCATAAAATGAATGCACCTCAGTTACATGAATGTATAAACTAAATAAAGTAAAGAGCGGGAGTCCCCGCGGCCAAACGGACTAGACGCGCGCCGCGGATCGGAAGGTCGTGGGCTCGCTCTCTGGCGGAGCCGGACTATTTTCAAAAAAAACACCTTGGCTCCCAGGTCGACCCAGCCTTGAGCGGGTACCGGGTGCAGTCCCGGAAAGTAAAAGCGGCCGGCGTGATGCTGACCACATCACCCATCTTGTGCCGATTAGTCTACAAAAATATAGGTCTAGCCATATGTGCCCTATACGCCTAAAGGCGTGAAAAAGGGACCTTTACTTGACTTTTACTTAAAGTAAAGAGCACATCTCATGTTATTATTATTGTGTATATAATTACCCAGCATAATGGCAACTATGAAACACTTTTTAAAAAACTACATTGAAAAGGTGGGAAATGCAACGGTACGCACATGTAGTAAGATCTAACAGCCTCTCAAAAACAACACTACAAGGCACAGTAGGGAGGAAGAGCAGAAGAGGCAGACCAAAAAATACCTGGATAAGAACTTGACTGACAGGACAGACCTTAAGCATGCAACCATGAAGTCCAACTCACATCTGACCGATAAAAGATGGAAGGAGTTGGTCAACAGCAACTGGCAGATGCTTTCTTTCTTACTTAGCAACCCATTCATCTCCTTGTGAGATGCAATTGTTCGTTATTTGAAGCCCCACCCTGGCTTTTGCCAGGGGCCGCAATATAGCCCGGCCATAAATATGGTATGATGGCTGAACGCGGTTTCTGAGACCTCTCCAAGGTGATCCTCATCCGCATGGTGCACTTTGTGTCATCGGATGTTTATCGCTTGTGTGATGTTTTAGTGGGGTAAAAATCTACTACTACTACAACAGCAACTGGTGACCCAACGACACTGTGTTACCGAATGGTGATCTTTCTGTTATCATTCCTTAGTCAAACCAAACTTTAGTATCAGCTGCCTGCTCTCTTCAGCAACATGTAGAAATGTGTCAAGTCTGTAGGCTGTTTATTTTTTGTTAGGTACAGGTCCAGGGCTTCTTTAGCTAGTCACTTCACTGCACGTCTTGAACTGTGACAATGGGTTTGCCTATAACATCTCTATGGCACACACAATTCCACACTAATCCCTAACAATATGGTACAACTGATAACAACCTATTGGTACAGGTGAATAGCTGCCTCTATGGATGATCTGTCTTCTCTAGTGTTGTGTAAAGTTGTGAAGATACAGTTGTTGTTCTCCACTTACATGCAAGTACAGGCGTGTAGGAATTATCAGCAAAGAGGTAGATGATGGGCTGTTTATTTGTCACAGTGGTCTCAGCCATGATCTGATTGGCGCCCAGGTTAAATCCAGGCAAACGGAACTAAGCAAAGACCACTCATCTATAATCATTTCACATGTCATTCCGATCTCTTGGGTAGTAACACTAGATATCTAGCGCTTTTGGATAATAGGGAGGGAAAAACACCATAAGATAACATGTGCATTTTTTTTTTGCATCTCTTTTTTTTTTAAGTCCTGCAACATTTAGAAAAGTATCCCTATGGATTTTTCGGTGAATTTTTTTTGGTTCTTGAAAAGGAGAGCGGGGAGAGAGGAAGAGGGGGGGGGGGGGGGGACAAACCCGGTGTCCCACTAACAAGCAAGTTGTAAAATAGGACCAGTTAAGTGTTTGCTAAAATCCTAGGTGTTGTACAAGAAGACAGATGTTGCAGCTGAATTGATAACCACTTGTTGAGTGTTGACAGGATCAACTTCCTTACACTGGGTTATCCCGTATGGCTCAGTCTCTCTCTCTCTCTCTCTCTCTCTCTCTCTCTCTCTCTCTCTTTCTGTCTCTCTCTCTCTCTCTATATATATATATATATATATATATATATATATATATATATCTGCAGAATGACTAGCCGCCTTCTGAGATTGTCGCACAAAGCACGTAACTCCATAGCTTGAGTGACGATTTCTAGGGATCTCTATAAAAACAGCCTTCATGTACTCAACGATGTGTCTGTCAAACGAACCCACAACCTAACAAACATAAGGCAAATGGCTTAATCCCTTTGCGATGGAAAGCCCTCTATGGCACATGTGCCACCCCCCCCCCCCCCCCCCCGTGTGGGTTCCGGGGCCCCATTATAAGGAAAACAAGAATAGACCCACTGCCTTCCCAAAAAGCGTGTTGTAAGAGTCGACTAACTGGGGGCTTCCTTTGAAGTCGGAGTGCATCTGCCTGAGAGGCAAGGAACCAGCAGTCTGCATACAAATAAGTCAGATCTGTAAAACAGATGCACACTCAAAACTCAGGTCCTGGAACAAAGCCAAAGTCCAGAAATGGACGAACAACCAGGTCTTTCCACTGGAGTTTATAGCCGGTGAACGCAAACAAACAACAACAACATGTGCCAACTATCTTTTTAACTGATGATGACTGGGTGACTGCAGTCGAGTTAATTATAAAAAATTCTAAATATAAAACAAAATGTGACTAGAAAGCTAAAAGGAGGGAGTGAAAAAGACGCCAACAAACAAGGTTAACATGATAACAAGAAGTATGTAATTGGAAAAAACGGGGGTGGGGGGGGGTGGTTGAATATGAACGGTTACCTTGAGTGGGTCCCAGGTGCAGCCCTGGAAATAAAGTAAAGGCGGTTGGTGTGATGATGACCACATCACTCACCAAGGGCCGATGGTCTATAAAATATAGGTCTAGCCCTATATGCCCAATACGTCTGGAGGTATGAAAGAGGCTCCTTTACTTTACTATAATACGAAACGAAAAAAGTAAGAAGGCGTATGTACTAAGAGGGAAAGAAATATGAATAAGTTAAACAAATGAACAGGTAAATACAGTAAATAAAATAAAGCTGCTGGATATTAATGCCTCCAGGATTAAGAACGCTAAAACTATGAATGAAAAGATTTTCTAATGAGCAGCGGCTGGTTTGATCACCGGAGCAGAATTTAATAGCAGTGACTGCGATATCTGTTTCACATTCGTAGTCAGAACTGCTGAAATGGACGGAGACAGGTTTTAGAGCCTTAATATGAATGTCAGCAAGATTATTATGGAAGCGATCTGCTAGCTTCCTACCGGTTTCCCCATTATATGCCTATTTACATCTTTGCAGATGGTGGCTTAAATTAGTAAATGCTTGTCTAATGTGAAATAAACCCTTCGGGAAGCGGACCGAAGGGATCTCGATCACAAATAGACATGTTTTACATCTTGTACGGGAGCATTTGGAAGTGCAGACAGAGTGCAGAGGAAAACGTTGGAAACTGCAGAGAGTATGTTGAATGGCAAGACTATTAAGCAAATTTTTATGGGCCAAATTAACATTTGTAGTACAGAACCTGTTGCTTTAGACTGAATTTGTCTAGATGAAGTTGTGGTTATTTTTGGTTTCATCTGATGACATCCATGGTGTCCATTAAGTCAACACGGGAGATATTATAACCACATTCTCATAGAAACAATAAGAAGAGGCACCTCAGCGTGGCTGTTGCAGTGGGGAACTGAGCACATACAGGATCGCTCAATATGCAGTGATGCTGATTGTAAAAACTTAATATTTATGGCTTTTGAGTTAGAGAGGTGCATAACTATGTGTGACTTAACAGAGAAGCAAAAAACAAAAAAATTAGGTATCATCCAAAACAAAAAAAATGTATTAGCTGGCAACAGTAAACACCTAATGTGTATTCATTTTATGAATATAAACGTGCACAGTGACTAAAACAACTACTAATTAACTACTTATTTTCATAACTATGGCAGCACAGAATAGGGGAAAATAAATAGTATGATAGAATCATTATTTTGCAGCTTAGAGAGAACTAACTAAATCACAACAAATCCATAGGTGAAGAAAAATGCTGGCACTGGATAGGACCTACACTGAAAGAATATAATAGTACAGTGGTACCTCGGTATACGTTCTTAACATGATCCAGATCCTTGGACGTATACCATACAAGACGTATATTAAACAAGACGTTTATCAAACAAGACGTATACCAAACAAGACGTATGCCAAACAAGACTTATACCAAACAAGACGTATACCAAACAAGACGTATACCAAACAAGACGTATACCAAACAAGACGTATACCAAACAAGACGTTTACCAAACAAGCCGTAGACCAAACAAGACGTATACCAGACAAGACTTACACCAAACAAGACTTATACCGAACAAATATACGCATAAGAAATAAAGAGAGAATAAATAATATCTTTCCATACAGACAAAATATCATTTTTATTGGCCTATTAAACATGAACGGGTTTGTACAAACTAATTTAAACACTGAATAAAAGTAAAATATATAAATGAATACAAAAGCAATTTTCAATGAAAGAAATAAAAATCTAACATGACTTTACATTGCTAAGAAGAGCTGAGGGTGTCTACTAGGATGGTGCTGACAAGAGAGGAGGAGGAGTTGTTATATCTGAAAGGCAAACAGTGGTAGTTTGTGATGTAGCGATTCATTTTGACTCATAAAAGTTCTAGCATGCGAAACCTAACAAAGGTCGTATACCGAACAAATATGAAATATGAGTATGAATGGTTTAAAGGGAAACTAAAACTCCAAAAATACATGTGTTTATTTACTTATTTACCTGTCATCTTCCTCAAGACTGGCTACTTAGCACTTGAATGTATACAACACAAATGGTCAAACGTAAGCTGCTTAAATGACTACAGCTGTCTGTCAAATTCCCAACACTGCGAGTTGTTTGACTACGATTAGGCAGGTAAAAACTGTTAGGTCGTTGATTACTAAGAAGCGGAGTACCGGCTTCGTCACGAATTCATTCATTATCAGTTAGCGGACACGATGCGGGCAATTGTTCATTCGCAAAGTGACACACGAATAGTTGCATGTGTGTTGGGAGGTTTCAAATGTGTGCTGTCTTATCGCTGTTGTATCGCACTTGACGTGGTCGATGTCGTCATCGCTATGCAACACGCCGTTAAAAGAAGACTGCAGCGATATTGCTATCAAACACAACCACAAGTCTCAGATCACGTCTGTGTTCTTGTCCTCCCCACGAAATCTTGGAGTCCCCTAGATAGGACGAACAACAAAATACTACCATAATGTGTCCTAGAGCTGATATTAACGTGAGTTAATGAGCGGTTTGGTGAGCGGGGGGCTGGAAAAAAAGGGGGGGGGGGGAGGAGTCAAGCTCGCGAAAACAGCGTAACAGAAAAAGAAAAAAAAACGGAAAAGGCGCCCCCTACCCCCATATAATGTTTTAGGAGGCGCGAGGCTCAAGAAGCTGAATAACTGCCCAATTCTTCTTCTTGTTCCTATTCTTCTTCTTCTTCTTCTTCTTCTTCTTCTTTTTCTTCTTCTTCTTTTTCTTCTTCTTCTTCTTCTTCTTCTTCTTCTTCTTCTTCTTCTTTCTTCTTCTTCTTCTTCTTCTTCTTCTTCTTCTTCTTCTTCTTCTTCTTCTTCTTCTTTTTCTTCGTCTTCTTCTTTAGTTCGCTGGAAATTAGGGCTATACCCAATATTCGCTTCCTTTTCGCTTCGGAGCCGAATAGTGGACCTAGTAGCTATTCGGTATTCGGCCGAATACTCGCGGTCGGGTCGAATACGAATAGTGGTTACATTACGCCATTTCTGCATTTACTGCGATAGACTGAAATAACTCTCTCATTAACACTATAGTTGTTGTTGCCTAATCTGTCGTAGCGGGGAAAACTGTGATCAGGTTGCGTGGTACAGCAGCTGGCAAGGTCTTTGCCTGCTGACTCGACCGAGGGCGTTACAGCAGAGGTTCTCAAACTGGGTGCGTATTCCATGGGTGCCGTGGCGAAAATCAAGAAAATTCGGCTATACATTGTGACATTATTAAAGAAGGTATAAATAAACCTTCTATCTTCTATCTATCTACTTTTTTCTATGAGTGCCGATCAATACACTTTCTGTTACTTGACTAAATTCATTAAAGAAGGTATGAAGATAACAGTTAAAATTTTAATTGTCTTTCCTCGCCACTGTCGAAAAGAGTTTTTTTTTAGTTTCACACTCAAAGTGTATCCTTCAGCAAAAAATGTCAACCGCAGCATGCTAAAAATTGTCATTGTATTTGTCTCGAGGTGCGACCGATCTGTATTCGTGAAGGTGCAGCGGATAAGTAAGGTTGTGATTACATTTTAGCTGAAATTTTAAAGTTGAGAAAATGCGATCTGTACAATAGTAACTGTTAGCCTCGTCAAGTAAGCACTTATATTTAAAAGCAATGCGTTCGTTTTTTGTTGCTTGTGTGTGTGTGTGTGTGTGTGTGTGTGAGAGAGAGAGAGAGAGAGAGAGAGAGAGAGAGAGAGGGAGAGAGAAAGAGAGAGATCATTCATTTTGTCGTTCTTTCAGGTTGTCTTTGCCCAAATCAAATGTGAAGATATCGCTAACGAGAATATGAAGGTGCGTTTAATTTACACCGAACAAACGGCCGAGCGAACGATGATTTAAGTGCGAATTTGGCCCATGGATAACATCAGATGGAAGATGCATTACTGAAATAAGAAACAGAATAGGACAGGCAAAAATCTGCCTTTTATAAAATAAAGAACATCTTATGCAATATATCTTTGTCATTAAAAGTTAGAAAAAGAATTCTTGCTTGCTACATGCATCCAGTTTTAATATATGGCTATGAGTCCTGGACAGTCAGTTGGCAGGCCAAACAATTTCTTGAGGCCTCAGAGGTGTGGTTTTACAGAACAATGCTTAAAATACGTTGGACAGCCACACACACAAAAAGCAACCAAAAGGTTTTGAAAGAAGCGGGAGCCCGAAGACAACTAAACACAGACATAATTTTTCGGCCATGTTATGAGAAGTGGGAAAATGAAACATGTGGTGACCACTGGAAAGATCTTTGGAAGGAGGGATAGAGGAAGACAACGAGAGAAGATTTTTGACAGTCTTGTTGCATGGCATGGAGGTATGTCAGCACACGAACTAATACATGCTGCAGGAGATCGCAGATTGTCGCGAGGCATAATCTACCACGCCAACAATTGTTGTATATGTGTGGGGGTGGGGGTTGGATGGTTCAGGCATCCGTTGTTGTTGTTGTTTCTTCTAAAGCGATCTTGCTAGTGTTGTAACTTTTCTAAATCCAGTGGCTCACTTTCTACAATAACACCACTCATTAAATTATGTAGATTCTGTTTGTTATTTGCAGTAACTACTGTGTCACCTGGAATCCATGTATTGTTGATGCTATGGCCTCCAGTAGTGATTCCTCTCTTGTCTTTTAAACGTTTAAATAATATTTCTATTCGACAGAGAAGAAAGGCTGGTAGGCATTCCCGTCCCTGCTGTTGGTTGTGTTCACCAAATGTAAACTCTGGTAGAAAGTCCTGGTTGTGCGTCCATTTCTAGAATTTAGCTCTGTATCAGGATCTGAGATTTTGCGTGGATATTCGTTTTACATATCTCGTTTTTCTTAGTGCAGTCTGTTGCTTCCTTGCCTTTATGGCAGATACACAACGACTTCAAAGCAAACGTTTATACCCTCTCTGGAATGACTGTGGCCAATTTAAACCTTGTGTGCCAAGTAGGATGCTACCTTGTATAAAAGTAATTCATTTTAGCACCTCCCTATGTTGATTATCTCCGGAAATTGATTTCATTTTTATTGATGGGACGGTCACCACGCATTCTCAGTGGATGACTTAATCTAAATATTGACCACAGTTGCAAGTTGTGTATTGACCAATTGGAATGTGACCCGTCAAAGTAATTTAATCTCTGTAACTTGACAGTCCGTTGAACATGATGGCTACTACACCCCTAGCTGCCAATCAATCTCCCAAACGGTCAGTCTCCTCTGGGTTGTACACTCTGAGACTCCTGTTCGTCCATCCCATGGTGTTATCTTCCAGCCATTCTTTCTTCTTCTCTTGTTCGCTTGAAATAAATTATCCATGTCTGCAATTTTGTCTCTAGTATGAACTTCATTGTCTTTTTTAACTGCATGGTGTAAATCAAACTTGTTTGCAGATATATATTCCTTTTTGCGTCGGAAGTCCATCTTCCAATCTGTGTCAATGACTAACTCTTGATCGCCAGCTTTCAGCTGTATCTCCAGTAGGGTGTTTATAAGATTTAACCCAAAAAAACCATGAGTTGGTAACCCTTTGGCTCGGTACTAAGGATATCGCAAAATTTCGGCTTTGATTCTACGATAGATACCGTAAATCTTGGAAATATATGGGCTTTCTGTGCCTCCGAGCGTGAACTTGGACCACAAGGAGTTTGTAACCCGGTCGCATCTGGTTTAACTAACTTAGCTAGCGCGCCGGGCGTTTATAAGAAATATGAACGCGGAAAGTTTTTGCATAACGTATTTGCGCTACATAATTGACACTACGCTACAGTTTGAAAAGGTCTTTAACTCTGAATCAGATGCAAATAAACCTTTTTATGTCCCTTTGTCGTCTCGATTTAAAAACTATCCAATGCAAAGGTTCTGGATCCACGTGTGGGTTCCAGGTCCCACTGCGCCGAAAACAAGAAAAGACCCACGGCCTACCTAACAAGTATGTTGTAAGAGTCTGTTTGGGAGCTTTCTTCCGAGTACATCTGCCTGAGACGCAAAGTACCAACATTCTGCAAACAAATAAGTCAGATATGTAAAACGGGAGTGCACACAACACTCAGGCTCGTAACAAGACGAACAACCATAACCTTCCACTGGAGTTTACTGCCGGTGAACGCGAAAAAGAAAAAGAAGCTTCTGGAAAGAATGAATGAAACAAGAAATTTTAAAGAAATAAATTAATGTAAAAGAGAGAGAGGGGGGGGGAGAGTGAGAGAGAGAGAGAGAAAGAGAGAGAGAGAGAGAGAGAGAGAGAGAGAGAGTTTTCATTTTTAGACAACATTTAAAGACATAATACGTTTTTGAAAACCATACTGGAGGGAAAGGTCCAAGGCAAGAGAGCAAGAGGTAGACAACGCTACAACTGGGAGCACAACGTCAAGAGATAGACCAACAACAGTCTAAGAAAGTGTACAAACAAGACAAGAGGCAGAGATCCATTGCAGTCAACCTTCCTTGTGCTACGGCACCTGGGTGCAAGGTTGTGTGGATTTGGAATTAACCAAGTGTGGATGGGCAAGAAATGACTTTTGAGAAGTAGAGAACTACGTGTGTACAACCAGTGTGCTACTGGAACCGTCAGCATCTGCACATCTAGACATTTGATGCCGGAGACAGAGCATGCACACACACATACACACACACACACACACACACACACACACACACACACATATATATATATATATATATATATATATATATATATATATATATATATATATATATATATACACGCACACACATATGTGATTGGGATGTAGATTCTTTAATCAGTAGCCTTCCCTTGTAGGTTCCAGGGCCATACTGGGAGGAACGAACGAACAAACGAACGAATGAACTTTATTTTCAAAGGGTTACAAATTGGGCACGCAAGCCCGTCTTACATTTGGCCCTTCCAAACACCTGTCTTTCACACTGCAGCTGTATTTTATCAATAAACATGGTATATTTATATGATAATATGCTGAAGATAGGAGGAGACCCACTGCCTCCCCAAAGGGCATGTCGTAAGAGTCGACTAACTGGGTATTTCCTTCGAAGTCGAAGTGCAACTGCCTGAGAGGCAAGGAGCCAACAGTCTGCATACATGACGGCTGAAAGGGGTTTCTGGGACCTCTCCTCGGTGATCCTCATCCGCATGGTGGCACTCTGTGTCACCGGGTGTTTATCGCTTGTGTGATGTCCTGGTAGGGTACAACTTACATACATTTATACATATCTCCATATTCATTATACTGCAACCTAGACCGACTGCGAGCATATTTTTGATTTTTAAAAAATAAGTTTGTCCCCTTCCAGGTTTGCAGTCTGTAGGATTGAGTTATTAACATCCCAATGATGAGAGTCAAACCGGTACAAATCACGGAAATCCCGTTCAGTCGTATATATGAAATAGCTCAATTATATTGGAGCACCAGAAAACAGTTACGAAGTTATCTGTAGCAAGTGTGGGGTGGATATATGCATGCAGATTCGTAATAAGAGCCTAATGTGATCTTGGACAAACCAATGTGTTGAGGTCCACTCACAGAAATGAGATATTTGTTTATTGAAAGTCACTTGACATACACTGGTTAGCATAGGGCCTCTGTGCTTGTGGGGCTCTCGGAAAAGTGCCCATCGGGCCCATGTATTTGGGTGGTACTCTATGTAAGCTTTCCTATCCTATGATGTCTGGCCGAAAGACTGAGCACGTCACAATTTGTCCAGTGTGTCATTACGTCGCTCTGTTTGCAAATAACGTCTCAACCAATGACATTCGCGGTTTCAGCAATGTTGTTTGTCCTCTCGTCGTTGATTGGCTGGCGCCGTGACTGCCTGGTGTGTTTACAGTCTGATCAAAACATAAGCAACTCTGTAGACACGGAATACTCCAATTTCATATAACATGGATAATTTAAAACAACAAGTTATGGTCAGTCAGTTTGTTCATGCAGCAGGGTGTCACGCGGAACAAGCAAAACAGTTCCTACAGGCAGCAGGATGGCATTTCGAGGTAAGTTATTCCTACGTCGTCTGCAGTTTGAGTAGGGTGTACCGTGTAAACATGGCCGAATAATTTATCATCCTCTACTGTGGTACATAGCGTGTTTTACTAGAGTTACTTCTAGGCCAGTTCAATGCTCTCTACTCTCTCTGTTGTTTTTCGACCAGCATTGCTTTTCACATTTCACAATTAGCATATCCTACTATTGTCACGCCTGAACTGATTTTGAAAACCAAGTGCATGCTAACTAAATACTAAATATATTCACACATAAAACTAAATTTAAATTTTAAAGGGCTATGTAAAGTAAAGCTAAGGACCCTTTTCAACGCCTTTAGACGTATTAGGCATATAGGGCTAGACCTGTATTTTATAGACCATTCGGCACTAGGTGGGTGATTAGGTCAGCATCACACCGGCCGCCTTTACTTCCCAGGACTTACCTGCTACCCATTCAAGGCTGGATCGACCTGGGAGCCAAGGTCGTTTTGATAAAAGTCCACCTCCATCAAGACCCCAACCCACGACCTTCCGATCCGCAGGCCAGCTCTACATCACGGTGACTCCTCTTAAATGGCTGTGAAGCGATAATAATAAACAGTTTGGTTATTTACGTGAAAATAAAGAAAACAATACATTCTCATTACCTGATTATGTCGCAGAAGTATGAGGTGATGTAACATCTTTTTTTATTTTGACTTCAAAGAAATCTCTGAAGGCCTAGCCTACCCAGTTCACTGAGCTGGGCAGATGGTCACACTCATATGTGGTCAGGTAAACATGTCCAAAGGGAAGGGGGAACATTGAAAACCACTGTTGATGTGGGTCCTCATTGAGCTTAACTCTTTGAGTCCTAAGGAACGCATCATACGTTCATAGATTCCTACCTAGAGGCCCAATGAACGCATGATGCGCCGATTTTACGTCTCTCTTGACTATCCCTTGGTCCTTGGATGCTAAGCCCCCTGGGACTCAAAGAGTTAAGTAATGCCTGCTAATAGAGATCCAGTTGAACTATTTCAGCACCAGGCAGACTCATCCTGACTAAATCAGTTTTTACTTTATTATTAGTGTTTAGGTCACAATGAGTTTAACTGATATCACTAGAGGAGGAGTTAAATTAACAATTGTGTATGAGTGAGTTAATGGAATGAATGGATGTGGCATAAGAAGTTAAACTTGTTTAGTACTAAAAGAGTTAACAAGTTCCGGAGCATTTTAAAAAAACAAAAACAAAAACAATTTGATCCTACAACATCAGACATAGAGTGAAGGTATCTACCAAAGGTATATTGTTCACAATCTGTGTGTTTTCAGTTTGCAAATAATTTGTGATCTGGTATTTAAATTCACGTGTGAGTCTTTGACTACTGATTATTCTAGAAACCTTGAAATTTAAACGTTTTCCTTGTGATGGCTTCTGGATGTGGCTGTCTCCATATTCGTTTTCCTGCAGCCTTGACCAGAGCAAGCTTATCTTTTGATTTTTTTAAAAATAGTCTTATCTACCTCTGATCTGTAGGATTAGGTTAATCATTAACTTCTCCAAGATGAGAATCAAGCATGTACAAATCCTAGAGATCCAGTTCAGATGTATATATGATAGTTACCTGAAGTTCAGTAAGGGGTAAGTGTGAGCAGAGTTACCTTAACAGCCTTATTGGCCCCTGGGCAAACCAGTGTACAGTGGCCCCTATGACAACCATTCACAGGAATGAAATATTTGTTTATGGCAAGTCACTTGACATGCACAGATTAGCACAGGACCCCTACGCTTGTGGGGCCCTTGGAAAAGTGCTCAGCGGGTCCGTGTGTTGAGATAGCACTGTGTGAAAGCTTTTGCATCCTGTTGTGTCTGTCAGAAAGACTGAGCACGTCACAATTTGTTCAAAGTGTCATGACGTGGCTCTGTTTGCAAATATAACATCTTAACCACCTGTGTGCAATGGCTAGCTCATTTATCTGACTGCCATTCCGGTATGTGTGTTAGTCCTCACTATGTGTATCAGTCCTCATCAATGGTTCACATCCTTCTTTTTCAGCTCATTATCCCCCACTGAAGCATAGACATTCAACCGACTCACACCAAGTTGTCATTTGCTTTGCTATTGCATGCAGTTCATCCTATGTCCTTCTTTTCTTTTTTTACTTCACTCTCTAGCTCTTTTCTTCGTGCTTTCTGGTCTGACTATATTTCTACACCCTGTGGGTTCCAGTGCAAAAACATTCTAGTTAATATTGTACACAGGTTTTCTCAGTATGTGTCCTAGCCAATGCCAGCGTATTTTCTTCACATCTTGGTGCACTGGAACTTGTTTAGTTCTCTCCGAAAGCTCGCTGTTAGTGATTCTGACTTACCATTCAATCCCCTTTATTCTACGCAGGCTCCAGGTAATGCATGTTTGTAGTTCAGGTCCTTATTGAGGCCATAGTTACAAAGAAATTCTGGGTAACCAGAATGACTATGCCTATAATGGGTGTCAGGAAATATTTTCAGAAGTAAAGGTGACCAGTGTGCTATTAACCACATCATTCGTTGTCAGTTGGTATATACCAATATATGGTTAGGTCACATAAAAACAGGAAAACACTTTTTAATATATAAATAAAATTAAAATGTCGTCTGTACAGTAGCTATATCTCAGGTTAAATTTCAGAACATAACCGAACACTATCACTTGACAACAGTAAAAAGGCCTTTTAAAGCAGTTAATATCTGCCACAAAATTTTTTTTATAAGTCAGAGTGCTTTTTATTTTCTAGCTGTATTCTTAAATGATAATGGAGAAAAGTGTTAGAACAAACTGTTGTAGAAAATATTTCACTATTTTTGTTTCTCCTGTGTCAACTGACTATTTTGTTTGTAGATTTTTCATGACATATATTACAATTCAGTCCCTTGTCAAAACTAGTTATCAATCAAAATAATACAGAACTAGACAGGAAAAGGATATAAACTCCGGCCACATACAAGTCGATAATATGAAAATCAAACGAACGGAAACAAAAAAGTACTTGGGTGCAAACTTCCACTGCTTCAACATGCTGAGAGAAGCAATACTATCTAGAATACAATCTGGAAAAAAAAGTATACTATGCCCTTCAACATCTGCTTAAGTCAAAGTGTATGTATCGCAACACCGAGATCAAAATATATAAAACGTTGATAAGACCAGTCATTTTATATGGCTCTGAAACTTGGAGCACAGCTAAAAGGGATGAAGCCTTGTAACAGGTTTTTGAAAACAGTCTTACAACAAATCGATGGACCCATCAAAGATGCAAACAGCGGTGAATGGAGAGTGAGAAGCAATAACGAAATTCATAATCGGTTTAAATCACCACTGATCACTGGCATCATGAGAGCTAATAGACTTAAATGGTTGGTGCATATTGAAAGAATGTCAGATAACAGAGAAGTAAAAACTGTATACACAAGGGAAATGAATGGTCGTAGACCATGAGGCAGACCAAGAAGTCGATGGAGAGATAGTGTCCAGACAGACCTGCAAACACTTGGTGTCACCTACTGGAAAGAGAGAACCAACCAGAGAGATGAATGTAGGTGGGTGATGTCTGCAGCAATGAACCTCAAGGGCTCAGAATGCTGAAGAAGAAGAAGAATTTCCTTGTAAATGCTTGACTACAAATGATTGAGAGAAGTCTACTTCATTACTTTCTTCATCATAATCCATATAATTCAGTGGACTAAATTGTATCTGTGGATGCTTTCAAAGGTATAAATCCCTCTGATGAGAGTTAACTCTTTTTGTCCCATCCAGGGTGTTAACAACTACAGTCAGTTTGTATCAAACAGTGAACGGTGTTTAATCATATATTTTTAATTTGGTTGGAGCATGTTAAAAAAATCTAACTAGATATGCCAACTTAAGGTATAGTATATATTGTTTGAAAGTAATACACTCATGCTCTTTTCATTGTGTCTCTTATATCCTTAAGAATTTGAAACAAAATCTGTTGGTACTAAAAGAGTTGAGAAGATGAATGAGCATCTGTATTGTTTTCAAACAGCAACTTGAGAACAACTTACGGTCAAAATTTACCTGAACAGAAAAATCAGAAGGACCATTCGAAGTTGCCATTTTGTGTTTTTACACTAACCAGTGGTAGTATTATAAACCAAATGAAGGTACATATAGCTGACTGTAAATCATTCATTGGTTATGGAAAGAATTAATTGTTTCACAGCTCTGGCTGTATTACCCTCTGGAGTCCTCTATTAATCGCCAGATCTCATTTGATCAATACCTTCTTTTGAAGTGTTGCATGGGAACACTATAATTCATACATTTGGTACATTGTCCTTATTGTTGTGACTCTTGATTTTCCAGGCAGCATTGAGTATGTTTTTTCAAGAATCCTCTGTACCTACAATCTCACATTGTCGAACATGTAATCGAAATCATACAAATGGAAACTATCCGGTAAGTGATTCATATTGTGTTGTAAATGATCTCATATACACGTGCATTTTCTTATACACCGCCAAAAAAGTGCCAGTTACTGTCTGTGTTTACCACATTTGCAGTGTGGTTGTGGGGAGAGGGGGGGGAGTAAAGCATAAGGAATTATGGCCGAATGACTAGTGCTGTTAGGATTTTATTGTCTCCCCTGCGAGAAAAAACTTTACTGAAGATTTGAGCCTGGGTCTCCTGCATTAGAGCCCAGTGTTCTTAACCACCCCTCCATTCTTATATACTGTAAACATAAATTCTTTATTGATTTTGAGTATTTTGATTAATTTGAATCATATGCCTTTACTTTTAATTGAAATATTTGTCCCTGATCTGGGCTACTAGGTTAAGTCACCCTAAAATGGATACCAGGAAATTTCCTGGGTACTAAAGGTGGCTGGAGTGAAATTCACCCCTACATTCATCAGTGCCAGTTGATCTAACAGTATGAGACTAGAAGCACCACACAACTTGATTTGCTTCTTCCAATGAATAGATAATTCTTGACTATCTTTATAGGGTTTTCCTCATCAATAACCTGGGCTCCCAGATGATTAGTCAAGTTTTGTTTCCAAAGTGAAGGTTGGCAGGATTTTATTTCCAACATGATCTATTGTCCTGGTTGTACACTTTGAGACTTCTGTTAAATTATTCCCTTGATCATTTGTTTCCAACTTGTATCACTATCTACTGTTGGGAGTCGCTTGTACATGTGGAAACTGATACTGAACAATGAATGTAGATGAATGCATGGTGTGTGTTAGAGACAATCATTGTTAGGAAATAACTTTTTGCTGAGAGTTGCAAGAAGTTGTCAAGTAGTACGGAAGTGTCTGTTGGTGACTGACTTTGTACCTGTCTGCTTTTGTGTCATCTTTCTACTGATATGCAGTGCACGGGTTTTGTACTGACATTTGGATCAGAAGCTGTTTGCACTTGGAAGACAGATCTGTGGTGAGCGGTGATTATGCAACAGCATGCTCATGAAATGTCACCGTGGGGCACTCATAATTCTTGTATGTGTACACTGTACGTTTTCCTCTTTAGAAAAGTCAAAATGTGACAGTTGCTTGACTCTAGCCAAGGAGTCATGTGATTTGTGAATGTGCATCTTGAGAAGATAATACACAGTAAGGAGGCTGTACATTCAAAAGTTCCTTTTTTGCTCACAATATCTCTATTTCTCAACTCCAAACACTAGTGAATAGTGTTAATGAAAATTGTATCAGAGTGTTTAGCAAGCATGGGATGAGCAGCACATAATGGCATAGGACACCTAGGCTTGTTGGTTGAAGGTCTATAGAAGTTCAAGAGTAGAGGTGACATTTAGCACAGATCTGTATGTAACTGACTGTGGAAACACAAGCAGGCAACTAAAGAAGTCTTAGTCTAGCCAGAAATGAATGGGGAGCCAAAGAAAACAGTTATTTACCACCTTAAAGTATTGACACTTTAAAAACATGACGAAGAGAAAATGTCAGTAGGAAGAAGGAAACAACTAAAATATAGCAGTCAAGAGCAAATGTATTAAACAGGCCTGTGAACTAGATATATGGGGTAATATTCCCTGAAGATGGCAAATTGGATTTAGAAATTAACATCTGATGTCATGAAGCAAACCAAATATTGGGACAGCAATTACAACAGAATACAGTCCCAATCATCACAAAGAAACATCTCATACTTCCACTTTTACTGCTTCAGGTGTTGAGGGAGATATAAAGTTCTTCTTCATGCTCTTCTGGCTGTCTCGGCCATAGACACATCGTGCTGTTGTAGAATTTCTCTGATGTTGTTTTCCATCTTCTTTGTCTACCTTGTGCTCTGCATCCTTCTCTTTTAATGTATGCCTTGTATGGTATAGTGTTGCAAAGTATTCTCTCTGAGTGGGCAAACCATTTGATTTGCTGTCTTTGTATGTAATTTAGAATTAGTCCTGTGTCCACTTTTTCTCTTATAACCTTATTCCTGATGCATCTATTCTTTTCCGTCCTGTAGCTTATCTTAGACATTTCATTTCCATTGTTATTAATGTTCTTTTCTCGTTGGCTGTGAATGATCACGTCTGGCACTGGTGTCAAAGGTGTAGAGTGAATACGCTATGTGAGATGTTTGTTTTTTGTTAGTTGAGATTGTCTTATGCTGTGGGGGGAGGGAGGGGGGCAGCCTAGCTGTACCAGTACTTGGTTTGCTTTACTGCAGCAGATGTTGATGTCTGCATCCAATTTGCCATCTTTGGTTGATAGTTTATGTGTGCTGCCTTGTTAAATGTTTGATTGGATCTTGAAACATTATTGTACCAGTTGTCTGCATTGTTTTATATCCTAGCAGCTTGAATGGAGGGAATCATTTTCTCTTCTCCATTGAGGGTGGTTGGTACATTTTTGTGTAGTTGCAGCTAGATTGTGATATTTTGCCCTGATACACCTGATTTAATTAAATTCATAATTAGTCGCCTTCTAGGACATGCATGTTAATTAGTAGTGAGTCTGTTCTTCCATGGAACCCACAGAGGGATGGAGGGATTGAAGTAACACTAGCAATGTTCTTTGATGTTTTCTAACTTACTCATCTTTCGGGTTTGTTGATGTTGTTTTTTAATTTAACAAATCTCCTGCTTTAAAATATCTTGTTTGAACCAAAGGACATGGTTGTCAACTTGCATTTAGCCTGGCAGAACAGTCAGCTACATTTGAGTATGATGGATGTTTGTATTTCAGTGAAACAGTTGTTTATTTGCTTCCTCTTGTTTAATTCTCTAGTGTGTACCTGATCAGATACAGCAAAATACAGGATTCAGTAAATTGCAGTCTGTTTATATCTTCTTTGTTCAGATATTTGCTTCTTTTGCTAACCCTCCATCTCTCTAATCTCTTTCTCTCTCCCCCTCTTCTCCTCCCATTCTCCTTTTCATCCTTCCCACCTCACTTCCATTGGAATAGCACATGTTTCATGTCTCAAATGAGTCTAATTAGTCACCTTTGAGCCCACACAAGAACTCAGCTGATAATATGAGGGATTTTAGGGTCAGACCTGTTGACATCTGTTTCTCATTGATCCCTTCTTTAATCATCTGTCTCCATCAGTGGTTGCCAGACTGTTTTAGGATCCTGCTGATGAGCCACATCTAAACACCCCCATCTGTTTTCTTTTTCTTCCACCCTTTAATCCCCAAATGAAGCATAGGGTCTCAGGAACTTTTGTTTTTCTATGCTATGCCATCATGCACAACTTCCATCACCTTCTCCATTATTCACAACATTCTCAAAATTCTTTTACTTTATGTGTTTTTATGTTATTTTTTTTATCTGCTTTTTCCTTAGGTCTCTCCTAAAGCTCTACAAGAGTGATTCTGTTATATCATTTAATTCCCTTTATTTATTCTGTGCAGGCATTAGTTAACTGAATTGTTGTAGTTTATAAGTAATTGTTTTAGTTGTTCTCCATATTTCAGCTTCATACAGCAGTACTGACTTGATATTAGAGCTAAAAATTCTAACTTTGATAATAGATTGCATTTCCTTTGACTTGCCACAGATTTCATAGTGCTGGGAAACCCCCATATATATCCACACAGACACAAAACCTGCTTCTTCTTTAGCCCTTTAAGCCCTCTCAGCTCTGTATTGCAGATATCACCTACCTTTTGTCTGTTAGATATCGGTATTCTAACAAAAATGAGATTTTACAAAGATAGGGTTGTAGGCATCACACTTCAGCCCCTAACCTGGAGGACCATGGTGTCTTTTTGTATCTGTTCACTACCCTTTGACCTGACTGCTTGGGAGGGCCTGCTTTTAGCTCACAGGTTCATCAGCTTCCCACTAGGACCTTCAGGAAGAGGGATTTTAAACACACTTACAATTATTAGGCACATTATTCTTGCAGAAACTTCAGTAATAGTTTTCTGACAGGTGTTTGTGCTTCAGTGTTGTTGTTCCAGGACTGCTTTGCTTGCTCAAGGTATGTCCTCAAAGTAACAGTAAACAAAATAAACATGTATAACTAGGGCACTGGTAACCGTATTTAACTAGGGCACTGGTAACTGTGTTCAACTATGGCACTGGTAACCGTATTTAACTAGGGCACTGGTAACTGTGTTCAACTAGGGCACTGGTAACCATATTTAACTAGAGCACTGGTAGTCATATTCAACTAGGGCACTGATAACCCAACAGAAAACACTGGGAACTGTAACTAATCTGAGAAACAGCTTATCGCTAGCAGATATAAAATTGATTGTGATAACTGGGGAAATAAATATAAACTGTCACACATTTTCCCAATGAGAGCAGTAATCTTTGTTTGTAATAGAGATGAATGAGTTCTTTGCATTCTTCTTCTTCTTCTTCACTTCCTCTTTTACCGCTGTGGGTGTCGAGGGAGATATAAGGTTCTGTTTCTAGCTCTTCTGGCTGCCTCGACCATAGGCAAATCGTGCTGTTGTAGAGTTTCTCTGATGTTATCCTTCCATCTTGTTCTTGGTCTACCCCGTGCTCTACGTCCTTCTTCTCTTTCTATTTATGCTTTGTATGGTTTGCATTCAGCGGCTGTAAACACACTAGCATATTTGTTCTTCAGATTTCTGTTTTTCTTCTTCTTCTTCTGCAGATGTTCTTCTTCTTCTTTTGCATTCGTCGGAAGATGTAATTGCGTTTTGCCCATTTACAGTGTGACTGTGACTGGGAAATATGTGAAAGTCAAGGGAATTAATCAGAATTTTTACTGGGTAATGGAGTTCATGCCCTGAGCTTAACAATTTCTTCATAAGCCAACTAAGAGAGATTCACACTGTTATCATTTAATGTGACATGACTCTTCATTGGCTGCGAAGCACATGTGGGATTGTCCCGAGTGCAGGGATGTAATTTTTTGATTCATTTATTCTCAAAACTAATAATACACTCAAGATTGGTTAGCTCTGCTGTCAGATCAGTTGTTTAAGCTCCTAGAGTTAGAACGTGGAGAACAGCAAAAATCATCACTAATAAACTACTAACATTTGTTAACTGATGCTTGCACATAATAGAAGTGATGTCATCAAGACCTGTAAGGAGAAGACAAAGAAGTACTCTGTAGGTTACTGGAAGATGAGACCAATCTGTATATCAGAGCTGGCTTTTGCAGACGATGTGGCCCTGATAGCTAAATCAGAGGCACACCTTCAGTCCAACTTACTTGTCTGGAAGGAAGAGCTTGAAAAGAAAGGGATGACCATCAGTGTCTCCAAAACTAAAACCATGGTGATCTCAAGAGAGGAGAAGAAACACCAGATCATGATGGGACAGTATGCGTTGGAGCAGGTTAACCAGTTCAAATACCTTGGAGTTGTATTAGACCAAAATGGAGGCATTAAGACTGAGCTGGCTACACGAAAAGCAGCTGCTGGGAGACTCTTCCAGGCCATAAACCGAGGGTTTCTTAGCAAAAGAGAAATTGGCAAGAGGACGAAAATGGCTGTTTACCGCTCTACCTATGTACCAGTCCTGACCTATAGGTGTGAGTCATGGGCAATGACAACAGCTCACAGAAGCCAGCTGCAGGCCTCAGAAATGAGATACCTGAGAAAGGTGGTCCAAGTGACAAGAAGGGACAAAGTCCGCAATCAGACAATACGTCAAGATCTTGATACCCAGCCCTTAGTAACCCGAGTAGATCAGTCACAGTTACGATGGTTTGGACATGTATGCAGAATGGGAGAAAATCGGCCACCATGGCAAGCATGGGAGGCTAAGAACCAGGGAACCAGACCTCCGGGATGACCCAGGATGCGCTGGGAAGACAACATCCGACAGTCCCTAACTGACAGAGGACTGGAATGGAACAAAGCCAGAAAGAAAACTGCTGATAGAGACGTCTGGCGATCTCTCTGGCAAACCTCTACACCCCAAGATAGAGGAGGAGCGACTAAGTAAGTAAGTAAGTAAGACTGGTATGTCAGAATTACCGATGTAGTCTGGAGATATAATTAAACAAATTCCTGTGAATCAAGAGGTGAAGAATGATGATTTCACTGGTTAGATCATACATTGACAAAACCTAATAACAGTCATCATCGTGTAGCAGGTCTTTTGCAGAACGTCGCTCTCATCACAGCCTGCCTGAAAGAAACTCAGTCTCTCGCCAGTTCTCCCGCCTCATGAACTTTCACACTCAAGGAGTCACTTATATCCTGTGTCCATCTTCGTCTGGGTCGGCCCCTGCCCCTCCTTTCTGGTACCATACCTTCTGCTATAATTTTTTCCAATCTGAACCTAATAACAGTATAACTAGAATATTCTTGCATGGGTAGCCACATGGTCAAAGAAATAAAGTTAACCCAAACATGGAACTCTAACAATCAACAAGATAAAATAAACTTACGTCCTTTTCAGGACGTGATTTTTTGTTATTTGAAGCCCCACTCTGGCTTTTGCCAGGGGCCGCGATATAGGCAGGCCATAAATATGGCCAATTGTCTTAACGCGGTTTCTGGGACCTCTCCACGGTGATCCTCACCCACATGGTGGCACTTTGTGTCATCGAGTGTTTATCGCTTGTGTGATGTCCTAGTGGGGTAGGGGAAAAAAAAAGGTGTGAGCTGACTGACTGCTCCAGTCGGAGAGGGGGAAAGGGGAAAAACAGAAGAAAGGGCGAGGGGAAAGATATTGATCTGTTTAAATAAATAATAATGTATGATTCCTGGAAGGAGATAACATGGATATTATATTGCTTGTATATTCCTCAGCTGTGCACGCCAGCCAACACTCCAGCCACCCCACCCAATTTCCCTGATGCCTTAGTGGCGCTTGCTAAACTGACAACAGGAGACAGCAGCAAAGTGTTTGGTGCCCCAGGACATGCCCATTCTCACGCATTCTCACCACCATCATCACAGCCCCCTCAACAAAACATGGCTCACTCCCCTAAAAGTATGCAGATCGGGGCCAATGGCAGATAGAGCCACTGTTGTTTTTGCACAGAATTGGCAGCTGAAGACAAAAGTACATCTGGCTTCAGTCTTAGACTAGTATGTTCTTACCTGCCGGTGTTCCTCTTATGGAAAATAATTTTTCAAATTCTTCATTTCATATTTTGAAACTGACTTTTGTGAGTCCCGGTGGGCTTCTGTGGATTATCACGTTTGACATTCTGGATTGAGGATTGTTACTTTGGAATGTAATACCTCCATCTTGGCAAAGTTTTTTGTTTTGGTGTATTTGTGACAAGGTTCTCTGTCAGTTTTGCCTGTATGTACATATCCAGAAACAGTTTATAAACACACAAGTGGCTTCAGTCAGACCATGAGTCACATCAACTGAAGTTCTTTCTGTCAAAATATCTACAGTGAATTATAAAGAATGCTCTTGCTAATGTTGTCTGGTTAATTAAAAATTGTACACTTGTTGCTAAGAACGTGTTACTTAGAATAATGAAGCCAGACAGTGGGAATTTTATATAAACTATGACAGTGAATTCTGCAATCAATTATTCGCAGTTTTGTGTTACTCTGTGTTAGATGCTGCCAAGAGTTGTATCCTTACATGCTAGACCATGTGAGGTAAGGTGATTATTTCCCTTCCCTGTCCCTTTTCTTCTCAGACTATCCCCAGAACATTCTAATCAGTGTCTGCTGCACCCAGTTTATGAGTGAGAACACAGAGAACCCAGCCACTGCAGTGGATTCAAACCAGACCTTTATCATTGCAAGCTGTACTGACTACTGTGCTGCCCCAAATCAACATCTTCTTTCACGGTCGTCAAGAATTGAGGTAGTTGTTGGTCCGACTTTTAATGACCAGCACTAACTAAACTGTTGGTGATCCAGTGGCACTGACTGAATAGTTGGTGGTCTAATGGTTGATGAGTGGCACTGACAGAATAGTTGGTGGTCCAGTGGTTGATGAGGGGCACTGACTGAATAGTTGGTGGTCCAATGGTTGATGAGTGGCATTGACAGAATAGTTGGTGGTCTAATGGTTGATGAGTGGCACTGACTGAATAGTTGGTGGTCTAATGGTTGATGAGGGGCACTGACTGAAAAGTTGGTGGTCTAATGGTTGATGAGTGGCATTGACAGAATAGTTGGTGGTCTAATGGTTGATGAGTGGCACTGACATAATAGTTGGTGGTCTAATGGTTGATGAGTGGCACTGACTAAATAGTTGGTGGTCTAATGGTTGATGATTGGCACCAACTAAATAGTTGGTGGTCCAATGGTTGATGAGTGGCACTAACTGAATAGTTGGTGGTTCAGTGGTTGATGAGTAGCACTGACAGAATAGTTGGTGGTCAAATGGTTGATGAGTGGCACTGACAGAATAGTTGGTGGTCCAGTGGTTGATGAGTGGCACTGACTAAATAGTTAGTGGTCCAGTGGTTGATAAGTGGCACTGACTAAATAGTTGGTGGTCAAATGCTTGATGATGTTATTGACTGAATAGTTGGTGGTACAATGGTTGATGATTTGCAGTGAAAGAATGGTTGATGAGTGGCACTGACTGAAAGTTGGTGGTCCGGCACTTGATGAGTGGCACTGACTAAATAGTTGGTGGTATTGGCTTGATGAATGATACAAACGAATTATGTGTGATTATACTCTGTCTACTTCTTCAACACATCTTGCTCTCATATCAGCTTTTCATCAGCTGTGAACTGGTATTGGTGCATTCAAACAGGATACCCAGACCATTGGATTTTTTGCTTCTGATTGTCTTCTTCTTTGCGTTCCCCGGCTTTAACCTCCAGTGGAAAGTTCTGGTTGTTCGTTTACTTCTGGACTCTGATCATGTTCCAGAAACTGAGCATTGCGTGCACATTTGTTTTTACAGGTCTGACTCATTTGCATGCAGACTGTTGGTTCCTTGCCTCTCAGGCAAATGTACTCTGACTTTGAAGGAAGCTCCCAGTTAGTTGACTCTTATGACATGTTTTTGGGCAGTGGGTCTGTTCTTGTTTTCCCCACAATGAACCCATACAGGGGGCTTATGATTGTATTTGTCACAGTTGTATGCACCTGATCTGTCTGAAAGTTTTGTTCCTCCTCAGTCTCTGTTGGCTAAATTTGCATGTTCTAAAGCATCTCATCTCACACGTTGGTGTTGATTTTGTGTGTGTGAGTTGACCATGTTTGAGTGTGGCACTTGTAGTATTGGTGTGAACAGCTCTGCAGGCTTAAGTTATGTTTGGGTTTCCTAACTCTTGGGTACCAAGGAATGCACTAAATTCGGTGGATGCTAAGGCATGTATCATGCATAGATTTATAACTTGTTACTTTCCTCTAGTACCAGAAACGTTAATAAGAGCCAGTTGGAATACTTGCCTTTGAGAACCTTTTTTTACTGTCTCTGTCACAGATGATAGGCCTTTTTTTTACCAGTGGCATATGATGCAGGAGACATTTTGTAAAGACCACTTGGTGCTCAGATGATGATGATGTCAGGATCACACTGGCTGCCCTTTACTTCCTAGGATATTTTCTGGGATTTATTTGGGGTGGTTAACCTCGGAGTCGTGATGTAATTATGTTTTTTTTTTTTAATTCACTTTGTGTGGATTGGTACCCAAGTCCTTTAGGCAATCAAACTACATATTCTGATGGAATGAATTAATGTACATGTTGTTATTTATCCTGACACAAAAGAGGATTGTCACCAAATACTGTTCTGTTAACTCACTTACACCCACTTATCTAAAAAGCCTCATTTTGCCTAAGAGTAAGAAGCATGTGGTATTGAAGGAGTTAACATTCATGTTTCCAGCTACACCAGGTTGAGGGCAGACAGTTTCTTATGGTGGTTGATGTGTTAAGTAACAGGGTCTGTATTGAAAACATTGTTGTAAATGTTACTTGAAATCTGATCATTATGTTTACTTGTACTTTAATAGGATAATAATTAATCAATGCTGTATGGAAGGTATACAGTGTCGGTTCAGAGAGTTCTAAAACACTTTCACTTTTCATAAACACTGCTGTGTATTTGAAATGGCCTGACATTTGCGGAGCACAAATAAAAACCTGAAAGCTTTCCGGGGGTGTTGAAAGTGTTTAAAGCGTGTGACTGTCTCTATATGGGTTGGCTATGTCTGGGGCTGGCTGTGAAACATTGTTCCACAGGTGAGCTGGAGACTGTGTAAAGCTTATTTAGCAGAGACCATCCTTAGTTTGGGGATATGTTAATGGGAAAAGAATGTTCTTATGGCTTTTTAACACTGATGTGAGAGTCAGCCTGTGGAAGAGGTGTCGGCCTCAGCAGATATTGTTCCCAGGCACCACTATCCACTGCAGTCAGCCTCTGTTGTAGAGAAAGCACCAGACAATTTTGTTAGTAAGTTTGCTTAGGTATTTGGTATATCTTGTACGATATGTGAACAACAGCAGGATGAAAAAAGGGGGTGACAGTAATGATATGGGTAGTGTGGTAACAGAGAAACTCTAGTGGTAGTCTAAGAGTCCGTCAGCCTTTTGTCTCCACAAAATGCCTCTGGGTCTGTCCTGGACTGCATGAAGTCATGCTTGCTGACTCAGAGGCCATATTCTCAAATACCTATTGAACTAGAATTTGTTTCTGGGCTCCAGGGTCAACCAAGCCCTAGAGTAGGTCCAAGGAAATGTTCTGGGAAGTAAAAGTAGCAAATGCTAATTAACATCACAGTAGTAGGCTATCACCAGTATGTGCCAAGGTATGGAAATGAGTCCAGTTTTTTCTTAATTACTGTCTCCTAGGGTGCCACATAAGTTTGCATACATAGGAAGAATAAACACATCACTTGCAGCATAACTCCAGATGTGCTTATGCATGTTCTTCATCACTGGAGGTCACACATTGAAATATTTTCAAAGCAGTGGTAATCATATAGAGCATATTATATGTTAACAGATGTTTGTTTTCTTATATATGGAAACTCTTGGGGCATGTCCATACACCAGATTTTTTGACTGGGTCGACCCCAGAGCCATGGTAGGAGTACAGTAGAAACCGGCCACAACTGGGGATGCAGCTCAGGCAACTGTCTAGGTCAAGGCTTTACAACTAGGGGTGCAGCTCAGGCAACTGTCTAGGTCAGGGCTTCTCAGCTGGGGGTGCAGCTCAGGCAACTGTCTAGGTCAGGGCTTCACAGCTGGGAGTGCAGCTCAGGCAACTGTCTAAGTCAGGGCTTCACAGCTGGGGGTGCAGCTCAGGCAACTGTCTAGGTTAGGGCTTCTCATCTGGGGGTGCAGCTCAGGCAACTGTCTAGGTCAGGGCTTCTCATCTGGGGGTGCAGCTCAGGCAACTGTCTAGGTCAGGGCTTCTCAGCTGGGGGTGCAGCTCAGGCAACTGTCTATGTCAGGGCTTTACAACTGGGGGTGCAGCTCAGGCAACTGTCTAGGTCAGGGCTTCACAGCTGGGGGTGCAGCTCAGGCAACTGTCTATGTCAGGGCTTTACAACTGGGGGTGCAGCTCAGGCAACTGTCTAGGTCAGGGCTTCACAGCTGGGGGTGCAGCTCAGGCAACTGTCTAGGTCAGGGCTTCACAGCTGGGAGTGCAGCTCAGGCAACTGTCTAGGTCAGGGCTTCACAGCTGGGAGTGCAGCTCAGGCAACTGTCTAGGTCAGGGCTTTACAACTGGGGGTGCAGCTCAGGCAACTGTCTAGGTCAGGGCTTCACAGCTGGGGGTGCAGCTCAGGCAACTGTCTAGGTCAAGGCTTTACAACTGGGGGTGCAGCTCAGGCAACTGTCTAGGTCAAGGCTTCACAGCTGGGTGTGCAGCTCAGGCAACTGTCTAGGTCAGGGCTTCTCAGCTAAGTTTACTCAGGGGTCAGAACTGTCAAACTGGGGTTTGTCATTGAACAGTGGTCCCAGCCGTAGTGTAGAAATATCATTAATAAAATACAACTGGCAGTTATCCCGTGATGGGCCAGATTTTGCCTACAAGCTGCTAGTTGAATAGTTCTGGTCTAGATAAACCAGCACACATATTG